GCCATCCACAGATAGGGTTACAACACTGGCTTTACAAAGTTGGTGGGAGCTGCAGAGAAGCATGACTTCAGTCTCATCCCAGTGTAGCGGCGAGGCTTATTAATAAGAAAGAATTAAGTGTTCTGAGCTTTCCCAAATGAGGCCCCATTTCTCTGTTCATCTCTGTGGTGCAGCCACAGAGAAACTATTCATGCAGGCTGATTTAAGGTTCCTTTGATAAGGTTTCCTAGGACAGCTCCCAAAGGGGGATGCACTTAGCTAAGCCTGGCTATCATGATCAATGGTCATCCATTGGTGCCTATCTGTCTAGGGAGTGCCAGTTGGACATCTGGACTGCATTCCTAAGTGTCAGGAGTAAGTGAGTCATATCTCACCTTGATCAACCAATCAGGGACTGGTAGGGCCGAGTAACCCACGTGGGACTCTGATGCCCATGGAACTTTCAGCCAATCAACGAGCTGAAGTTCCTCCAGGTAAAAACAGGCAACACAGAGAGCCTGAGAGATTCAGTAAGATTCAGAAGGGAGGATTCAGGAGAATTCTGTGGACAATTCTAAAGGGAATTCAAAGGAGAATTCCAGGGCAGGACGGCCCAGGAGCAGAAGGCTCCCAAGGGCAGGACATTCTCGCAGCGCGCCTCCTGACCATCCTGAGACTCAGCCCGGACAACCACGGAACGGCCAGTGTGTCCGAGTGCCAGAACTTTCCTTTGTTCTAAGAGTCGAGAGCGGAGGTTGCCAGAGAGTAACCAGAGGATCCACCTGAGGTTAGCATCAGCAGCAAGCCTCGTGAACAGGTCGGAACTGTGGACAGCTGAATCACTATTCAGAACTAGCTCTTCATCAGGAACGAACCGGTCCTCTTCCTGACTTGCTGGGACCCACAGTCATCTTTTCTCCTGTGTGCAAACTTTGCTAGTTAAAGCCAACACTAACTAGCCAATCAGTGAGCATCAGCAGCGCACCGTCGCAAGCCGCACAGGACAGCCTGGCACGCAGCCAGAGAGCGCGGATTGGACAGCAACAGCCTGCAACTGTTTCTTTGTGCCCGCAGGAGATCTGAATCCCCAAAGATTGGATGGGAATTCAACTTCAATGCATTACAGCTCGAGAATTCAATTGTTATCCCAACCAGTTGATATCAATTTAATTCCTAAGAGTTATGTACTTGTTTTGAGTATCTAATGTAGAAGTTATAACCAAGTTCATTTATGAAACGGTCTTAATGAATGACATACTGAACGTATGTTGTCTTGATATGTGTAACACTTTGTAACTGACTGAATATATACCTTTTGTATTCTGATAATCCTCTCAATAAGATCTGTTAGTTTTACATGCATATTCTATGTATTAATAAATGTATCCTCGTGTATTAGTACCTGTGTGTGTGCGTTGTTTGAGTTATGTCGCATGGTTGGATTCTAAAGCAATCAAAAGAATCAATTTTGTGATTTACTGCTACAATTAATAATTGTCCCAGTAAATGCCCAAACCCTACAGAACTGGTGCCTTCAGAGAGCCACTACATTTACATTTTGGCTATGGCAACGTTACACCAGTTTAAATTAAGGAAATATTGAGTCATCCAGGTACTGTAGATGACAATTAGAGAGGTCAGAGACAGCCATTTCACTGTCAGATTTAGCTTGGCTTTTTGTTTACCAAAAAGGAACAATCTAGCAACAAATTTATAAAATATAAAATAAAGAGTTACAAATATGGCTTAAAACTAAAAGTTTGAGTGAATGACAAATGTTGAGGAACATAAGGAAGGTTGTAGAGGAGAGGAGGCCACACCAGCAGTCACTTGAGACTGCTACCTTACTAACTTGAGGAACTCGTCCAGCTGTTTAAGAAAAGTCTCCAGGGAAATAATGACTCCAGTGCATGTAAGAGCCTTTCCATTTTATGGAAATACATTTTATGAAAGGATCGCTGAAGCGCTGTGTCTGTGTTTTAGTTCACAATAAATATCCACAATGAAACAAGACTCCTTTGGTGGTGGCAGAAGTAAGATTAATCTTTTAAATAGGTATGAATCTGGAATTTGGATTCTGGATTTTATGTTCAATTAATTTACTAAAATGTCTGGATTTTTTTTTCACTTTGACATTATAGAGTACTTTTTGTTTTGTTGATGAGTGGCATACATTCTCAGTTAAATACATCATGGTTCCATGCTGTAACACAATAAAATGTCCAAGGGGGGTGAATACTTTTGCAAGGCACTGTATATACTGTAGCTACATACTTAAAAATAACCTATGAATTAACATACACAGTTATGGAATGAGGAAAGGCAGTGAGAAAAGTGTGTAATCTTTCCTGAAGGCATTAAGTCAAAGCATTTGGAAAAGGGACGGTGCACTGACTCCTGAAGAATTTCTATGTTTGACTACAAACTGCTGCATTACCGTTCTTTGACAAAGTCCCAGAGAGTGCACCACTTAGTGAAAGGGTAATTGATTCTTCAGGCTATTCTGCCCTGCCTTGCTCTCCAAGAGACAGAAGTGTTAGCAGAAGTGACTAAGGACAGGCAAGCCTGGTGAGTACACACATTGAAAGCCCTAAGAGAAAACAGACTACACTGTGTTGGGTTTGACATGATGATTTTGATTTTGCTGAAAGAGTACAAACCCTTGCTGAGAATAAGTGAAAAAATAGCACAGCTCAATTCTATCCACCTGAACCAGCACAGGTTCTAACAAACAACCGACCATGTTTAACCTGCTCTTTAAAACCCATGCTGCTTTGACTGGTTTTCTAATTTATGCTTTTGATTTTAGATAATTGGCCTCTCACAAATACCTTTACATTATACAGTCATTAAAATGTAAAAGTCAAAAAAATATACATTGGATGAGTTTGTTTTTAGGAAGTATGACGTACTTTTCCATTGCAATTCTTAAAACGCAAAAATACATCTCTTTTTATTCTGAAGATAAAGAACTATCAATGCCACCTAGTGGAAAAGAGTTAGCATTAAAAATATACTCACACCACTTAGCCTCCAATTTAGAATCATTGAAGAGCCTACAGTAGGTAACAGCGTACGCAGTATAACAGCATGGTAATAACTATTTGTTTTAAAAAACTAAACTGCTTAAAATCTTTGAAGAATTAGCACAGATGAAATGACTAAAAACAAAACACTGATTTAATCATGTTATGTAAGCTTTTTATCACAACTGAACGTGCCTGATAGTATGAATTTGAACTTTTAGCATCTTATTGTTAAATCTTTTATCTTAATTTAATAGTAGATAGTGTAACATCTATATTTACTTCTGACCTACTGAATTACATCCATCCATTTTCTAATTGATTTATCCGATACAAGTCTGCAGGGGAGCCAGAGCCTATCCTGGCAAGCAACCGATGTAAGGCAGGATACACCCTGGACAGAACGCCAGTGCATTGCAGGGTACACACAGACACAAACACACACACTCACACCAGGGCCAACCTTCCCAGAAGCCAATTCAACTACCAGTATGTCTTTGGAGTGTGGAAGGAAACCCACACAAACATGGGGAGAACATACAAACTCCACACAGATAGCACCCCAGGTCTGGAACAGATTCCAGAGCCCCAGCACTGCAAAACAGGAATGTTAACCACTGTATCATTGTACCGCAATACAGAATCACATTTTATTAACTAATGCAATGCAATATTAATGTTGCATTTTAATATAATGTAATATTTGGTTCTTACTCTAATCTTTGTACAGTATAATTACATAAGACTTTGCTGTTATACAGTATATAATTCACAGGGCATACTGGATTTGTGAGAATACTATTTTTGATACTGTTTTTCACAGTACCTCACATATACTATTGTATGTGCTCAGTTGTTATTGTATATATAAGGACAAAAAAAACAGCAAAAACAAAATGTTTATATAAAATGTAGAGCCTTAACACTACAGAAACACTACTAGTGAACATTATCATTATTTGGTATTGAGCTACTGCTTATTGTGAGGTCTGAGCAAAGCAAGTTTCAAATACAAAAACAATGAAGACTATAAATGTTTCAAACCAGTATTCTGGGGTTAGAAGACAGTGACAGAATAGCAAAGATAAGTATGCTTTCTGCTGTACCTATCAGTTAATTTATTTGATTATGAATGAACATTCGTCTAGGTTCTACTTCTGAATGCTAACAAGCGTTTACTTAACAAAGGGATTGGTGTAATTGGTCTGCTCTAATTTGTCCCTACCTTTCATTGTTAATATACGTGAATATACTCTGTAAATTATTATAATAATAATAATAATAATAATAATAATAGCTTACACTCATATAGTGCTTTTCTGGACACTCCACTCAAGGCGCTTTACAGGTAATGGGGACTCCCCTCCACCACCACCAATGTGCAGCATCCACCTGGATGATGCGATGGCAGGCATAGTGCGCCAGAACGCTCACCACACATCAGCTATTAGTGGGGAGGAGAGCAGAGTAATGAATGCCCAATTCATAGATGGGGATTATTAGGAGGCCATGATTGGTAAGGGCCAATGGGAAATTTGGGGTTACACCCCTCCTCTTTTCAAGAAACACCCTGGGATTTTTAATGACCACAGAGAGTCAGGACCTCAGTTTTACGTCTCATCCGAAGGACGGCACCTGTTTACAGTACAGTATAGTGTCCCCTGGTGGCCCCACTAACACCTCTTCCAGCAGCAACCTTAGTTTTTCCCAGGAGGTCTCCCATCCAGGTACTGACCAGGCTCACACCTTCTTAGTTTCAGTGATGTGTCAGGTGTGAGTTGCAGGGTGATATGGCTGCTGGCTATAATGATGCATGAGTATATTTGACCAAAAGAACTTTACAAACAAAATCTACATCCAATAATCTCTGTGGCTTGAATTGTGCGGAGAGGGATAAGGTGAGGCCACCTTGCACTTCTAACCTTTGCAGAAATATAAATGGCTTATAAATGATGCAGCAGCACACAAAACAAATCTACCCCTGGTTTCACTCACCTGGAGACGGGAGTTAAGAAGCATGAACTCCTGCTGCTTCTTCAAGTTCTGATCCAAAGTCTTTGACATGAAGAACCCCATGGTACCCCTAAAAATACAAATGATCAAAGTCAGACAGTAGAGTGCTGTTTTTTTTTATGTTTCATAAAAATGTTTCAGTAGCTTTTCTGAAGTGTGCCATAAGCATTGTGTGGACAACGGATGTTGCCACTCAATAATGTGTAATGCATTTCAGACGATGGGTTTAATTATTCAATTAATAAACAGCTATTGAGCTACAAGGATGTTACTCTGCACAGGTTATCTCTACGTTAACACAGACCAGCAAATTTAGCCAGGACTCAGTCATACAAGTTTGAGGATACCATGCGGATACCATGTTTGCTCAAGGTGCTCAGTTTTCCTCCCACAGTCCAAAGACATGCTGGTACTGTAGGTGAACTAGCTTCTGAGAAAACTGTCTCTGGTGAGAGTGTAAGCATCTCTGTGGACTATCTAGCATCTTACAATAGAACGATCTAAAAAACTTATAGGCATCATCAAGTCATATTTAGAAATTCTTCCTAAAATAGTTCTCTTAATTTATTAGATTTACCTATTTATTAGAATGCTTGAATTTTAGTTGCTGACTTTGCAGACTGCAATTTGCCATGGTTTTACAGTGCCTTTACAGAATAAAATGAGCATGTGTGAAACGTGTACATTTTTTAAATTGAAATTAAATATGTATTAGATCTATAATTGACTAGTATTAAGTTGTCTTGGCACATACATTGCATAATGCCTGAGTGAGGTTTGGCATGGTATTTATGAGTTCCTGAATGTTGGTGCAGATTCAACTTTAACCATTTTTTCTGATGTATTTACTTGCCTGACAACAGGATACTGAGAGTTACCATATTTGCCTTTTCTAATATTAACCCAAGCCTACCAAATCTTTTGTTTCTTAATACAGCAAACATTTCCAACATTGCTCTTTTGGTTGCACATGGACCCTCATTAGGAGATACAGCAGTACTGTCAAATAGAGACATACATCCGTGCTCAGCTTGTCAATTGTAATTGTAATTCAGTGTAAATGGGAGAGCTCGCATGTATGACAGGCAACAAAGATACTGGAGGAGTTGTGTGACAGGCACATAATGTTTAATAACAAAGTAACACACTTTCAACTTCATTTCATTTTAAAGCTACCACTGTCAAAAACATGGAAAACGGGTAAAATAAATAAAAATATTAACCATTAAGTTCAAATGCCACAATCATGTGCTTTTTTCTTGAAACAGTTCCACTTTGGAGAACCTGTCATTGGATCCATAGGGTTGTAGAATCTGACTGGATGATCTCCCACTGGCTTATGCTATACATAGTCCACGTGTAACCATATTGACAAAAATACATAATTTTGTTGTAAGGAGTTTAATCTTGTCAATTTTCATAAAACCACAATTTAATTTTAGTTTAAAAAAGTATGAGCACAGCGGTTAACACTGCTGTGTGGTAGGTTAAATGGCCTCTGGGAAAACTGGCCCTGGTGTGAGCGTGCGTGTGTCTGTGTGTGTGTCTGCATGTGCTGTGATGGACTTGATGGTGATGGTCTTGCGCCCCATGCTTCAGTGGACGGGCTCCAGCTTCTCCATGATCCTGTATTGGATAAGGTGGTTCGAAATGGATTGATGTTAATCATTTTTATTTTTTAAGTATTTTAAAATTAGGTTATAATTTTAGTTTCCATTTTTGTCATTTTATATAATTTTTAAAGTTGTTTTCTTTTTTGTTAACCTATTATTTTAAATCGTCTAGGACAAAATCTACTACCAAAATATTAAAACCTGAATCCTGCTTAACATAAACTAAGTACTTGTTACGTTTTATTAATAAAAATATACCGAGAGCCATTAAAACTCTATCAAATTAATATTTGAACCAATAAAAGGTGTCGACGTTCGTTTGGAAGTGCAGAAAAACCCAGGATCAAAGCTTGCTTGGACATCCTAATTTTCCCCAGTCAACCTTGAAATGGCCTGAAGTAAACTTTGAAAGCTTGAGCTCTTAAAAGGGACTAGATTTACTAAGGACACTGCGAGAACTGTAATGAATCTGTTAAAATCTCAGTCCTTATGTGTTGAGATATTGGCAGTCTCCCTGCTCTGAAATAATTGATTTACTGTGCCTGTGCTTCGTTTATTGTCACTAAGCATCTCAATACTGATGACCGCCTTGTTGTATCGCACATTTTCACAGATTTATGCAGGACTGAGGTTGAGCAGCTGTCTTCCAACACAGCGCTATTTCAGCACAGATCTGTTCAGAGTCGAAAATCCCGCGCAGGGTAGGGATTTGTGGGTGGTCAAGTCTATTTCCCATCCACCCGTCAGCGTCCTGACATTTTCATAACTCTACTCACATAAAAAGTACGCTACATTGCATATATTTTTTCAGATCTTCAGATCTACTTTCCACGCATCAGAAGGAGACAAAATGTGCAGCACAAGGCATCTACAACAGCTTCAATTCAGATTTTTTTTAAACTGATTGGCACAAAAAGTATCTGGATATACGTTACATCCGCCACATTGAGCTCTCATTTCAGTCAGGACAGCCCACATTTAAACAAGCTGTTCTGCGGTGAAAGTGATTCCAAAGTTAATGAGTTCAATGACTATAACTTGTTTTCACATAGAAGCTAACCGAACTGCAAAGCTGATCCTAGAGAATACAGTGTATGTTTATACAAATAAAAAGAACTGTAGGCACATTAATAGTCTAGATCTGGAAAGGAAATACACTTTTAGTTAATCCAACAAGTGTATTCTTATTGACAGTTTTAAATTAATAATAGCCATATGGAGTAGGCTGATGACAGTGACAATATCTAATACATCAGTCAGACGCTTTACGTCATCTATTCACCTTCATATACGCCCGACCGATATGAAAATCAGCTTCACCTGTAATCAAGGGTGGTTTATTTTTTTCCATTATGATTTAGATATCTATAGCATCTACAATAACTGGACTCGTCCATATTTAAAGTCGTCATGTGCTTCGCTGCTCCACAGCACGTTTTTGTAAAAAGCTTTCTCGAGAACATGCTGGTGACATCATACTACCAATTCCACAATCCAGTCGGTGTTAAAGGCTAGATTTGTCACTCTTATGCTAGTCCTGCGCTAAAACAATGCTCCTATTATATTGCATTGAAACGCCAGCACAGCCGAAAAATATTTATGGAAAAAAAAGACATGAACTGCCTAAAAATACTGACGGAGATATTATTTTCTTAAAATCACCGTGCCCTGTAGTTTATGTGAATGAGAACGTACCTTATTCTTTTGACGTTTTAGGTCGTTGTAGTTTATCCAAAAAATACAAACCCCAGAATATAATATTAAGTTGTTTTTAACGTAGTCTTGCACAGTACAAAAGAACTGACCCGGGTTACCTCCACGGTTATTCAGTAAAGAGCTCATTAGAGATTCTGCAAGTGGGTCAGACATATACTTACACGGAGTTTAAAATAGCAATATGTTACCACACTTATTCGTTGCGTGCAGTCATGATTGTGAGCTACCGATAAGCACTTAACTAAAAATAAACATTTAACTACAGTATGCTTACAGCCTTATCTCTAACTTTCTCATCTGAGAAAAGAAACATCCCATCTTGTTCCTGCTCCAGGACAATAAGTGAGATAAATCTATAATTACAGCCCTTTGTCCAACAGCAATATAGACAAAGTGCTTTACAACCAGGTAGAAGTAAGGAAGGTAAAACCATCTTGAAATTCTACAAGTCCTTGAAGTTACTGGATACTAGCCACGAAGCAGCAGTTTTTCTGTATTCAAAGACCCTTTATGGCTCTCCTGTATGCCCTAGGGAACTGTGTCTCTAAACCTGAATCTGGCTTTTGTGACCTAATTATGAGCATCATTGCTAGAGACTACTGTATGTAGAATCTAACTTCAGTGTCAAGATTTGGTACAGGCCACAGTCCCAGTGCAGTGTTATGGATTGAAAAAAGTTGGTGGTATGAAGATATTTTCAGTAGCATGGTCAGGAACGTAGATGCTTTGTGCCTATATATAAAATAAAGTTTACATAAAGTATAAATTGTGTATTTTACACATAAAAAACAGTTTACGATGTTTAACATTTTTATTCATTTTATTTATCTTGTTAATCTTATGTTAATCTTGTGCACTAGGTTAAATCCAGGTGGATGCTGCACATTGCTTGTGATGGAGGGGAGTCCCCATTACCTGTAAAGCGCTTTGAGTGGAGTGTCCAGGAAAGTGCTATATAAGTGTAAGCAATTATGTATGTATGTATTTATTTATTATTATTATTATTATTATTATTATTAAATAGGATAATAATTACAACACACAATAGTGTCCTTATTTTCACAATTCAGTACTTTCCTAAGGTGAGTGGGTAATATGCAGTGTTTTTTTATTGATTAGGAATCAGTCATGAGTTTTTACACATAAAGTAATGAAAGTTTAAAATTAGTTATAAAAATGTATTGATGAACTATGGAAATCTACGGATGTTAGATTTCAATATAAACGAATTGCCTTCTTAAACGGACGGATAACTGCAAGACTGAATTGTGATTTATACTGAATTAGTGGTCAGCATTGCCTTTAAACTCTGAAGGAGAGTCTGATCAAATTAATACTCATTGCCTGTGATAAACAGTTTTCTTTCTTCTGTATTAAGCATTTTAAGTGGGAAACAGAATCAGCTAAAAGCAAGGTCAAAGAGATCCTGCACAACAAAAATACCAAAAGAATGTTTATGGGTCGGAATTAGAGGTCAGAGAATCACAGGGAATGCTGTGTATGTGAGGCTGTTACAGTAACATCACCAAGGTGAAAAAGCTACCTCTTTTGTGGGCTATACAGACTCAGACAAGGTATGAACTGAATTACAGCCACGTTTCCGACATCTGTCTCACTCACCAAACAAATGAGCCTGGACTGCAAGTCATATGTTTGACACCCCTGATCACGATTTTATCTTCTCTCAACATGGCTCAAAATTGAGACCTAGCAATTATCAGTTTGTGTCAGAATGAGAAACAACTGATCTGGTTAAGGTGGGGGCATTTGAAGAGACCAGAATTGAAGAGAAAGAAAGGGTAAAATAAACATAGAACGTGTGATTATCTCAATCTTTGCAGTAGTCCCTAGATTACACACAGACCTGTCATCCAGCAGTTCTCAGAGAGTCCAGTGGGTACACAGAGCAGCACTAAGCAGTTGTTTATTCCAGCAAGTCGATGAATTCCATAGATATAGCAAGACCGTCGAACACTTTAGTGGACCCGCTGTGAGTGCTCTTTAGTTAGGCTGGGTAGAGCTGCGAGTAAACTGTGCCTTCATCAGATCTTTTGCTCCTTCGTTGCTGCTGAAAAGTCCTGAAAGATCATACTGTTTGAGTCCTCAATGCCTCAATCACTTAATGCTTTTCTACGTAGTTGAGCTATCTGTTGACAATAGGTAGTGGCTGTTGGTCTGAACCTGGCTTGGGGGCTAGCGTGCAGTGGGTTCTCTTAATCTGAATGCAATGTAATTTGGCTTCAGTTCAGGAACCTAGGCTGCCAAATCTCAAAAACTTTGATTGGGTTTCCTCTGTGTTCTCTGGGCATGGGGATATACAACAACCTGTACTGTATATTCTTTCTTTCTCCCTCTATTGTCCAGATGGTCAATAAGATCGACCATTTCCTGCACCTGGTTTTCCAGTGCTTGTAGCCGAGCCTTAGCGGAGTCAGCTTCTTCCACAGTTGTAATCCTTTGCTCTGCTTCCATAGCTTGTTTTCTAGCATGGGTTTGAAGTGCTTGTGATAACAGCGTGAGTCTTGCATCAATCTTTGCAGTAGTCTAACGGATTCACTCCAAGAATCTTCAGAAATATTATAGTGACTTTGACCGGACGAAAAAAAAAAACCAACAAATCCGTATGCAATCTAAAGTCCAGAAGAACCGAGTCACAATGCCAAAAAAAAGTAAAATATCCAAAATGCGATCGGAGATGGCATATTAAAGTTAAAATTTCTTAACTTGAAGATTTTACTTGTGACGAACAAGTAACGAATTGCACTACAGTACGTTTTGTCTCAAGGTAATATTGATAAAAACATATATCCTAAAGTTATAAAAATAATCAGTCAGATAATGATGCTCATCCTACTGAATCCATGAAATGCTAAAGCAGTGTAGTAAACTCAGGGTGCAGTCCCTTTGCGAACATCGAATCATTCAAATGAAATGTCCAAACGGCAAGACACGGTGCTGAAGTTTTTGTCCGTGAAGTCCACGCACACACAAAAACCCGCCGCTGCCACCAATTATATGTAAAATCCTGGGTTCGGAATAGTTTTTCAGGGATTTAAGTGACGGACAACAGAGCCTTCACTAGCCGATTAAGCCAGAAGAAGACAAAGAATCAAAATAACGGACACAGCGCGAGCCAGTATTCTCTCCTCAACCGTCCACACCACACTTTTCCCTGGGTCAGAGATTAAATACAACTTCACTCGCAAAAAACAAATTACCGCACACTGCCTACCAGAGATCATAAGGTCCAAACTACTGCAAACATCTTATGAAAATATGTTCATCATCCCTTTGATTCCATACAACAATTTCACTAAGACTGGGGTCCTTGAATCCAGAGTTGTAAAGGAGATGTGTAGGCTTTATGGAGCTGCAAAAATTCACACTATTACCTATCATGCTTATGTGAAAGTTTTAATCAAACTTTGCTTAAAATTTTAGGCCCACTGGACTCAGAAAGCATATCCATATATACAATAACATGGTACTGTACTTGTCTCAATAGGTTTTACCTATTTTACATTTGGAAGACATGCTAGGCTACTCATGGATCTTGTCATGGGAACCATGTTCCAAGCTGAAGAGTGTAGTCTGAACAAATGGTGATTAATGGGACCCTATGCACCAGTGTGTCAGCCTACTTTAGATGCACTGTACCTGTTTATAACAACCTGTTTCCATTAGACAAGAATATGAGGATGGGGGGGATAAGTATGACATTATTAACCTCTTCATCCATGTTCTTTCCCTTTTATAGAGAATGCTGAGCCAGTAACTAATGAGGTTCCTACTTAAATGGTATCATGACTTTCTTTGGGCTATCATCTTATGATCCACAGATACCTGAACTGCCTGAACATCCAGATGTACTGTACATAGGTCTGCCCACTCCACTAAAAGGTCAGTTACCTCCTAGATTAAAATAATAATATTTTACTAAAAACGTGGGGACATGGCTGTTTCAATTAGTGAAGGATGATTTTCACTAGTATGGCACAGAAACTTTATAAAGAAGATTGTAAGGACACAAGACTTAGTCAAGGTGGGGGAGGGGATTTTCCTTGGTACAAGGAAAAATTGAGGTTGCTGCTGGAAGAGGTGTTAGTGGAGCCAGCAGGGAGAGCGCTCATCCAATGGTCCATGTGGGTCCTAATGCCCCAGTATAGTGACGGGGATGCTATACTGTAAGCAAGCGCCGTCCTTCCAATGAGATGTAAAACTGAGGTCCTGACTCTCTGTGGTCATTAACAATCCCAGGGTGTTTCTCGAAAAGAGGAGGGGTGTAACCCCAGCATCCTAGCCAAATTTCCCATTGGCCCCTACCAATCATGGCCTCTTAATAATCCCCATCTATGGATTGGCTTCATTACTCTGCTCTCCTCCCCACTGATTGCTGATGTGTGGTGAGCGTTCTGGCACACTATGGCTGTCGTCGGATATATTGGTTTGCACTCATGTAATGTTTCCAGTTTTTGTAAAATTCTGACTTAATACTTTTTACTGGAGAAAATAAATCTTGTGGATTTGAATGCCATTTTCCTTCTGTCATTGGCACATGGTTACTCTTCCGGTTGAAGATTCCTGTGTTTTTCAGAAATTAAAGAGGAAGTGCAATTGTATTTTTATATTTTGCATTTCAAACTACAATGAAAGGAACATGTACACAGTAATGTGTAAAAACTCCAATTTACATCACAAATGTACAAAATTTCCAGGTTCGCGCAAAGCCATATTCTATGATTCAGAATGAGACAACCAAACCATCGGTGACGTGAACTGCATCATCAGCAAACTTAATGATGTGTCTGTCCTCAGAAAGGCTTCTACAGCTGTCTGTATAAGGAATGTACAGGATGGGGGCATACCACACAGTCTGGGGAGATCCAGTGGAAGAACAAAGGTGCTCTGATATGAAACCATTTACCCTCACACTCTGTGATCTGGTGGTCAAAAAGTCTAAGATATAGCCTAAAATATTGAAAGGCTAATTTAAAATTTGAGAGTAATCTCCCTACAAACAATATAAATAATGTAATATAAATAATGCTCTTCGTAGTTCTTGGTTTCCCCATGTTTATATGTTAATAATAATAATTGCTTACACTTACATACCGCTTTTCTGGACACTAGACTCAAAGC